CACACACACACACACACACACACACACACACACACACACACACACACACACACACACACACACACACCCGCTCTCCACAGGTTTGTGGGTCTGAATGGTCTCGGGGATCAAACATGACCATGCTCCTCGGGGTGAAACCTTCTAACATATGAAACGGTTGCTATCACAAGGCGACATTGTTGCTGCAATGTCACAGAAATTAGAAGCTGATGTTTTGTGCCAATGGAAACGACACGGCGAGGTCCACGGCTCACCTCGCTGCACCACCCTGAACCCTGCTGCTCTGCACCCACAGGACGCCTGACAGGCACGATTCAGGTAGAATGAGATTGACAGGAAGTTGGACTCACCCTGCAGCGGCAGCAGGTGATGTCGGCGCACTCTTGCTTGGCGGCAGCAGGTTTGGCGTCGGGGTCACCGCCTGCACTGAACAGACACTTTCCTGCATGAACAAGTTGTTGCCATCCTCTTGTTGCACTCCGAGACGCAGACAGCAGAATGCAGGCGTCTGACTGGATGCTGATGTCTTTATTTTGCTTTTTGGGTTTTATTCCAGTGGCAGGGAGAGGAAAACGTCTTTCTTCTCCTCTCGTCTCTGCTGCTCTGCACGCGCCGCGCCTTCTCTCCCCTCTGCCTGCCTGCCTCTCACAACAACTGCGAGGAGGAGGAGGATGCTGACTGGTGCTGGCTGTGTCTCGTTGCCCATGGCAACCCGTTGCTATAGCAATGGACCCGAGCTCACTGGGAGATGGAGCTGACGATGAAGACTGGGGGAGACCTACAGAGGGTCGGAGAGGAGCCGGGTTTGTTTACATTTAAGTTCAGACTCTGCTGACGACCTGCGAGCTCAGGCAGTCTGACACAGAGAGTCCGCTCAGGCTGCACCCATCAGCGGGAGCAGGAGGACGGTTAAAGGGTCTCTGATGGGCGGAGACTAACGCCACCATGTGACAGGAAGAAGACGCTGGAAACAAACTTCAACTGAGCAAACTTCTGCTGTGACCCGTCCACAGCTCAAAGTCCATCACTGATCTGCTGCTGCAGTCTGGAAACGTCCTGATGTTCACGCTCAGCCACCCATGAGCTGCAGCCACGCCACGACCTTTGAACTCTGAGCTTACCGACATCCAGTTAGCGCCGCTCTCCTGGATCCATCTGTCTGCCTCTGGCTCATGCTCACTCACACACACACACACACACACACAGATGAGACAAACTTTCTGCTCTCTGCACAGCTGAAGAACCTTTAACTCGTGAACGCCCTCTGGTGGAGGAAAGCTGCAATCACACTTAAACATCCAATCACTGTGCAGCGTTTCTCTGTCAGCAATCAGCTGATTGTAATGAGTGGAACACACAACAGCCACAGACATACAAAGCTAACCCAGGATCTAAGCCACACCTGCTGCACATGCACTCAGGTAATCAGCAATGACACAGAAGCGCCACCCGGTGGTTTGAGATGGAAACTCAAACCGGATCTCTTAATCTGCTAGAGCAGACATGCTCACTAAACTCTGTCCCCAGCTGAAGCAGTGTGAGCGTGCTCAGAAAACACAGTTCTGTGGTGATGATCGACGGTTTAAACCTGCCAGACACTTCCTGTTTACCTGTCCGGGTTCACCATGCTTGGATGCAGTGCTGTCACCATCAGCTCTGACCACACAGGTGTGTGCACTCCCCTGCTGAGCCTTGGTGATATCATAGAGCGTAACTTCTACAACTGAGGTGTGTCTCAAACACATGAGGGCGGGCACCGGTTTGTGGAGCCGCCATGATGTCTCACTGTGTTTGGCTAAAGTGGATGGACATCGCCCTTTCATATGTGGCTACAGACAGGAAACATACGTGTTTCCGGTCCTGGATGGACATTTGGATTCATGTCAGCACCTTTAGACTGAAGCAGTGAAGGATCATACCTGTTACATCATCATGCAGGGAAAGGCTCAGCACTGCCACCATCTTTACAAAACCTCCACCTCACCTCAAGCTTCTTCTCCTGAGCTGAAGTCAGCGCTCCAACATGAAAATGTGCCCATTCATTCATTGTCACAGTTACTGATGCAAACGGTTTTATTCATAGACATGTTCCAGACACAACATCGTGTCACGCAGCTCAGCATGTTTATTTATTAATAAGGGTTCAGGTGTGTCAGGGAGAGAGGTGCAATAAGTGCCGGCCAATCATCATACAGCACAGCTAAAGTGTTCAAGGTTTCTTTATTTGATGAGGACAAGTCCTCAGAAAAGATGAAACACTAATAATTCATTTGGCAGGAAACAGAAAATGTTATCAATAATATTAAAGAGGAAGAAGTTGTTTTTTAAACAATGACTGCAGCAGACAGCTGCACGGAGCTCCTCACTGTGAGCAGCCCATTGGCTTCAACCTTCACCGACATGCTGCTGCCTCACTCATATTAGCGTTCTGTTTACACAGAGGCCGTCAGCTGACCTGGAGCCAGTCTGTGTGCCGAGGCGGGCGGAGCTTCAGCGCTCGGTTCAGCCTCACGGAGGTTTCAGTCATCACCACGAGCAGTGCAGCACATCAGGTTTAGTCCAATCATCTGTGACGCAGGCCACCACACGGGGAGTTTCAGTGTTCACAGGTTGGTTTGAGCATGAAGTGCAGTTTCTGCTTTCTTCCACCAGGTGGCAGCGCTGACTCAGTCTGAGCTTCTCCCTCTACAGAGGGGAGAGGTATTAAAGAAACAACGATAGCAGCACACATCAGGTTAGAGAGCGTGGAGGCGAGGGTGGAGAGGGTGGAGGAGAGGATGGGGGAGAACGTGGAGAGGGTGGAGGAGAGCATTGAGAGGGTGGAGGAGAGGGTAGAGGAGAGGAATGGGAGAGCGTAAGAGGGTGGGGAGGGTGGAGGAGAGGGTAGAGGAGAGGATGGGGGAGAGCGTGGAGAGGGTGGGGAGGGTGGGGGAGAGCATGGAGAGGATGGGGGAGAGCGTGGAGAGGGTGGAGGAGAGGATGGGGGAGAGCATGGAGAGGGTGGAGGAGAGGGTGGAGGAGAGGGCGGGGGCTTGTGATGGCTGCTGCAGTCAGCCTGATTGGGAGTTGTTGGAGTCAAACTGTTAAAGGTTGTCATTGTGTTACTTACAGTTGTAAGTCTTAGTTGCAGCAGCAGGATCAAAGACTCCCTCCCCGGCCTGTCTGTTGGTGGGGCGGCTGTAGTGTTTTATCATAGGCACATCCTGGGTGAAGGTTCTGTTTCCTGCTTAGTAAACTTCCTGCCTTTAGATTAGATTAAACTTTATTAATCCCTCGGGTGGGCTCCTCCGGGAAATTCGGTTTGCAATAGCACCGACAGAAGTTACAGAATGTGAGCAGACCTTTTATGACCCTTTTGTGGGCAGGAGGTCACACAAACGCACCCCCAAACACAAACACACACTCACATACACACACACACACATACAGATGCTCGCACATACGTGCACACACATACACACATAGCACCTTATCTTTTAGAACCACAGGGGGGGTTTACAATGGGAGGTGCTTGTGTGTACTGTAACTGTTTTCAATAAAAGGCGGCAAGCGGAGGGTGAGGGAGGCGGAAAAGGTTTTCTGTAGCTGTCCCAGCTGCCCCAGTAGCTCTCCATTGAGTCTCTGATGTTTCACAGTGTGTCCTGATCATAAATTAGAGCAGCAGAAGCAAAGTCAGAATACAAAAGAGCAAAAGTTATAGTGGAAAAGACGAGTGAGACAGTGAAAAACTGCACTGTCGCCTCCAGCGAGCTGCAGCAGCGACAAAGCCAAACACAGGCGCCATCTTCAAGTTTAAGGTCCTGACCAGGGTGCACCTGGTCAGGATCTTAAACTGCCTGAAGAGTGTTGCAGGGACATCTGTCCCACACAGAGGGAGGTTCCTGCTGGCATACTGAGACATCCCATAATGGTAACTGAGTAAATAAATGATGTGGATAACTTTCTTTCAATCGATGTTGTGATGACCCGTCAGTGTGAATGACCTGCAGCACTGGTACCAGATGTTTGACTGCAGGAACGGTGCATATATAACAGACACCTGCACCAGTTGCCTCGAAGACTTTGCTTCAATGCGCCGAGACCACATTTTAAATCCACGGAGGAAAAAATGTCTGAAAAATTAAACATTTTTAGATTAAAAGTAAAAACTATTTAAAATAAGTGAAAAAGAAAAATCAGCGATACACACAAAATAAACAGATTTTCATATTTATGACGTAAACACTGGACAGATGTGCGGATCATGTCTACACTCATCGGTCCATGACCAAACCTGGACGTCGTGGGTCAAGTTTTTGGACGTCTATGACATTTCTTTATTTACATTGCTGTTATAAAAATGAGACGTATGAATAGAGATTATTTACAAAACAATATGAATTATTATGTGTTAGCGTGTCGATTTATTCAGTACATGTGGGATTTTTGTTTGTTAGTTTACATTCTACAATTTTATTTCTTTGTAACCAGGTGTAAACTGTCATTTATTAAAATGTGTTGAAATCCATGTTGAAATGTAAAATAATAATGGTTAAAGTGTTTTGTCGATGTGCACATTTTGAAACTGTCTGTGAGAAGCTCGGGACATTTCTGCTCCGTGGCCACTGAGCAGCTGCGCGCTTTGGTTTTAGCTCAACATCCTTCGCCATCTTGGAGACGTCCGCTGATCTCTCTGCAGTCCTTCACACATAACTGTTGCTGTACAGAAGACTACAGAGCCTGTACATGTAGAAGCATTAAAACAACTAAAAATGAGTCTAAATGAGTTTGACTTTGAAAAGACGTCCACATCGACCACATCTGGACTTGAAATAGCCCGTACACGGAGGTCCTGTGGACATCAACACCAGACGTTCAGCAGACGTTAAAAAAGACATCCCTTGGAGTTACAAGTGGATGAAAATTAGATGTTCAAAAACGATTCATAAAAGGCGTCCCGTCGTGCACGTGTTCAGTCACGCGCAGCCTGGAAGCTTCATTTCTCACTGTGATAAACAAAGGCAGCACCAGGGGGCGCTGCTGGCCTTCCAGTGTTATGTAGACTGATGGCAGACGGGAGCCAAGTGTGGGACACGTTGGCAGGTTAACCAGTGACAAGGAGTTTTTATTGGCTGATAAATCACAATAGGACATGAGAAAACAACCTTTCAAAATAAAACAGGAAGTAACTCAAATACAAATGACTAATTAGTGACACATGATGACATCACAGAGAAAGAAACCAATAAAATCAAGGAGGACCCAACTCGCAGTCACGGACGTGCTGCAGCAGCTAAAAGATCAGGAAAGAAGCTCCCGCTGCTCGCCGTCAGCTCTGCCGGCGTCTTCCTTCCTGGAACATTTTGGAACAGGTGAGCGCTCGCCAAGTGAGCAGGAAATACACTTTTCTCCAGCTGGACCGGACCGGAGGCCTACATCAAAGTCCTAACTCTTCTAAAAGCCTGATTGTAGGAATGTTCACAGGATCCTAAACAGCTGTGGGCAGCCAATGAGAGGAGAGCATGAGTGAAAAGGGAGGAGCTAAAGCAGCAGAGGATGGCGAGGGCCGGAGAGGAGAGGAAGATTCTTCAGAAAATCTGCTGTAGGATGGTCCAGAATGTCAAACATGAGGCCCGGGGGCCAGAATCGGCCTGCCAGAACCTCCGATCCGGCCCATTGGAAGGCTGTGGAAAATAATTTTAAACAGACGCCTTGTAAGCATCTGCCTGCATCGCAGCACTGCTTCAGATACCCCCCACTCCCCAGTTAAAGGATGAAAGTGGCCGGTGAGCTCCTGCTGCTCGCTGACTTGAGTCACACTGAGCAGCTTTATTAGAAATCCTTCACACAGACAAACAGGAAGCCAGATCCTTCTGGTTAGACAGAGAAACACA